ACCCACCTCATTCCTAAACATTGATTTAAAACTCACGTGTCCTGGGCTCACCTAGCCACCCGTATCAGATATCTCTGGGTAGGTATTGCTCAAACTTCATAATCTTATTTGAATGGGTTTTATCCAGAAATGATAGCTTACATTATCAGGAAATTATAAAACCTTCTAACCCAGGCTGGTTTTCTCAATGCTGGCCTTGACAGCTGGTAATTTCAGAGCAGCCATCTCAAGCCAAAAAAAAAAAAAATGGGAATATAATTAGTATTCTATATTTCTGTTAAAGTTCTGGAATTACAGAACAGACTTTCTATTCTGAAATGGCCAATACCATGGCACAGATGTATTTCCTCAGCAGATGTCTCCTTCTCAGAAAGGCTGCAGAACTGCTAATGAGATGTGATGGGAGAGTGTTCTTGTGCATCCCACGGTGGGGCCCATTTGGGCAGACCCCGGGGAGCACAGTCAGTGCTTCTGCAACTGAATGAGCAAGGGGAGTGTGTTGGTTCTGTGTTTAGAGGCTACTTATCTTTTTAGAATTTGACTTGGTATTTTGTTTTTTTAAATCTCATTCTTAATGGTTTATCAGAGTAATGTGATTTGTTTTTCTGTCTTTGTTCTGTGGGTCAGAACAATTTGGTTCTTGTAGAAAGGGAGAGATAGGAAATGAGCTGTGGGACCTGTGCTGGGTCTGTTCTTGGACCTGGTGCTGCTTTTAGGCTGTGGAATGTTCAGCATCCTTAATAACCTTAGAGTTGGCATTCTTTCCAATTTGCTTCCCACATGTAGGATGGGACTACTATGGATATGAGTTTTGGTAGCGCTTAAGATGACTTCTGAAGGTACTGAACTGATATTAAAAAGCATTAAATTACATGATGAGAAAGTTATTTTCTGTTCAATTTTCTTTCAATCTGGGTTGTAACCGCAGAGAAAGACTCTATCTGGGGCTAGAATATCCTTAACGCTTGTTAATTTCTCCTTTGTGGCTAAGAGAGAACAGGTTTCAGTCAACTTTATCCAACTAGAAATGAGCGACAGATTTTCCTTGTATTTACTTTTATGGTTACTTTCCATTTATGGCAAACAATCTTGGTTTTCCATTTATTACAAATGATATGTTTCCTTTTTTTTTTTTTTTTTTGGAGACAGAGTCTTACTCTGTTGCCCTGGCTAGAGTGAGTGCCATGGCATTAGCCTAGCTCACAGCAACCTTAAGCTCCTGGGCTCAAGTGATCCTCCTGCCTCAGCCTCCCGAGTAGCTGGGACTACAGGCATGCGCCACCATGCCCAGCTAATTTTTTTTTCTATATATTTTTAGTTGTCCGATTAATTTCTTTCTATTTTTGACAGAGACAGGGTCTCGCTCTTGCTCAGGCTGATCTCGAACTCCTGAGCTCAAACAATCCGCCCGCCTCAGCCTCCCAGAGTGCTAGGATTACAGGCATGAGCCACCACGCCCAGCCTGATATGTTTCCTTTTTAAATGTTGGGTGTGAAAAATGAGCCAATTGAAAGAAAAATGTGAATAATAATCAAAGTCTTCACACGATGCCAATGATGCCAATAATGCAACCATACTTTGAGAATGACTACTAGGTGCATTGAACAATGCCTGACCTCGGCTTCACATAAGACTCATCTGGGGAGCTTAAAAGATCCAAAAGTGTGGACCTCAACCCAGACCAAGTAAATCTGACTCTCTGGGGCCCAATATGTGACTAAAACATCCCAGGTGTTTCCATTGAATAGCTGAGGTCGCAAACCACTGCCCACCTATGCTGGGGCCACATGCCCATCCTCTGACTCCACATCTTGATTGCATCTTTCCCCTGTTTCTCTCTTGGGCCCCTAGCTCTTCTGCTCATTCCTTTCCCCGCTTTAATTTTTCTTTTCTCTTTCCTAGCTTCCCCTCTTCCAGCTTTGTTAACAGCTATTCCTGTTAGCAATGCCCTCCAGCATTGCTTCTTAGCTTAAGACATTGTTAAGTGTAGTTGCAACTATGCTAGAAAATTGCCACACTGTACTATTTTCCATGGTATTTGCTTGCTAGTTCATATGCTCTCGGTGCAGTTTCTGAACACCTAAGCCTTTCTGGTTTTGTTCCCCGCCAGTGACTTGTATTGACAACAATGACGATACTTGTTTTGGGGCTCTTACGTGTACCTACCACTATTCTAAGCACTTTACATGTATGAACCTATATAATCCTGACATATGAAGGAGATACAATTTTCCAGGTGAGAAAACTAAGGCTCAGGGAGATTAAGTATCTTGCCCACAACCATAAAGTGGAAGAGCCAGAATTCAAACTCATGCAGCCTGGCCCCAGAGCCCACCTTCAGAACAGAGGAGGCCCCAAGTTGGTTGCTCATAATCCTGCTTCAGGTGTCCTAGCATGAGATGAGTCACACATCAGGTAGGCTGTTCTCCACTGCAATAAGAAATTGAAATTTGGACCCACTGTCTGCTTCAATGACATTTGGAATGGATAACTCTTTTCATTTTCAACTTAAATGATAGTATCTTTAGTAGGAAGCCGGCAGCTTTAAATTCCATCAAGATTTTAACTCATCACCATTCAGAAGAGATTGGCCTTAAATGATTTTTTGTCTGTGTTGGCTGTCAGGACTATAAATGGAATATGTAAAAGCCAGCATCTGAGATAATTCTGCAGCTTGCAGGAGGCAACTCCAGAACTCTTGGTGACTTTGATGATTCTTCATTAGCTTATCTGGGTTGTGACCTTCTGCAGCCTCCCATGTTGAGACATTCCAGGGTATTTTCTGCCTTTTAAAAAGAGTCTCATTCTCATTCTAGTGTTTAATCAGAGAGAAACCCTTGACTCCTTTCCATTCCTCATGGGAGAGCTCCATTTTTTCAGCTTTTGTAATACTGGGGGTTGCTGTTTTAGGAAGCTAGACCTTCTGCATTGCATTAAAATCTTCCCCATGAGTTTGGTGAATTCACAGGTGGCCGAGTGCCCTGAGAGCCTCTGAACTTATTGACGATTTCAGAACAGTGAGTCATGGGGATGAGTCCAAAACATCGTGCCTGGGGCATAGTGAGCATTGACATCAAGGATTCTTTTTTCCCCATTTTCCAAGCCCCCAACAATATAAGACATTTTGTGCACATTATTTTATCCAATTCTCCCAACAATCCTATTCTGCTGGAATTACGCCCTTGTTCATTTTCCTAGATGAAGAAACAGGGTTACATGGTGAGGGAGGCAGGATGTTGAGCCGCAGAGCCCCCGAGCATGTTTGTTTTGTCTGTGTTCTGTCCACTCCCCAGCTGGGCGAGGTTAGATATTGTGTTATGGGAAGAAATACTTGGAAGGCAGAGGAGGAGTGTGAGGACCATGTGTTCCCCTTCTCGGTGACTGTCAGGCCTGAGCCAGCCCACTCCCCCTCCCAGACCATTTGAATACGGTCCCGTCTGTCACTGCCCTGTACTGTGGCTGCCAGATAAGGAGGATGTAAGGACACTGGGCAGCAGGAGTCAGCACACAGGCCACAGAATAGTAAGGGCAATGCTCGTCTTTGATGTCTGATCTTAGGGCTGCATCCCCGTCATTTGTGTCCAGAGACCCACCATCTTCAGCATTCTCCCATCTGCCCCCTCTACCCCTGCCCACTGCCAACTCCAGCACCTTCTTTGGTAATTCCTAATTTAACAATCAAACTATGCTGCTTATCTGTGCTAATGGGCTAGATCCCTGGTTCTCTGACTTTTATACACATCAGAGTCACCTGGAGGCTTGGTGACCCCAGCTCACTGGACACACCCCCAGAGTTCTGATTCAGCAGGTGCTGCCAGGGCTGCTGGTACAGGGACCACACTGTGAGAGCCACGGGGCCAAAGAGCCTGGCCCCAGTTATACGTACACTGATGCTGTCTGACCGATTAGGGACCATGATAATGGGAAGGTTCAGCCTTATGGGGGGAAATGCCATGGAAGATAGCAAGGAAGACATTCGGGGTAGTCAGGCTCAGGCCTCTGTCCCTGCTCATCATAGTGCGACAGAGAAGGACCTGTTAGGTTGGTGTTCAGTGGCTCTTGACGACCACTCCCATTGTCACAGCCTCTGCCAGCTACATCTCTGAGCATGCCTTCCTCTGTGGGTCAAATGACCTTTCCTTCTAATTATTTTTGACTGTCGTATCCATGCTTCTCAAGCTAGAATGTGCACTGGAATCATCTGGATGTCTTATTAAAGTGAAGAGTCTGAGTTGTTAGTAATTTTGAAGTGGGGCCTGAGATTCTGCGTGTCTGATGAGCTCCCAGGTGATGTAAATGCTGCTGGTCCACAGAGCCACACGATGGTTAGCAATTCTGAACTCCACTGTACACACCAATGGCTCTTGCCCCTGCTGTACAGTGGAATCACCTGGGGAGCTTTTAAAAACCAGTACTCAAGCCCATGTCTTGGATATCCTAATTTAATTCTGGGCGTTGGAATTTTTAACCCCTCCCCACCACAAGTGATTCCAATATACAGCCAGGGCTGGAAACCACGGGCCTTTACAAAGAAAAGAGATAATACCACCTTCTAGGGGCTCGAGTGCGTGTGTCGTGCCATGGACCGGGTCAGGCTGGTTGCTTAGATTGGGGAAGAGTGCACCATTTCTCCTGTAGAGCTGCAGAGGTCACCTGGGACTCTTATTAAAATTCGGATTCTGCCTCAGCACGTTTGGGGTGGGCCCAGGTTTCTGCATTTCTCGTAGGTGCCTGAGTGTCGCCAGTGCTGCCTGTGCAGGCTGGTGCTGAGTCCCAAGGCTTGCCCGCAAGGGCCACACGATGCCCGTTATCTCCATCAGCGGTGGCGGCAGGTAGGGTAGCTTTTCTCAGGTTGAGCCTCAGAGGCTTCCGGCTCTCGCTTTCTCTCCCCTTAAACACCATCCTGATGTCTCTTTCATTCAGCTTGGTATTGACACAGCACACTGGGCAGTACGGGTCAGTTCTCCTTTTATAATATTCTCTTCTTTCTCTCTTCACAGTACGAGATGCAAAAAATCTCATCCCTATGGATCCAAATGGGCTTTCGGATCCCTACGTGAAGCTGAAACTTATTCCTGATCCCAAGAACGAAAGCAAACAGAAAACCAAAACCATCCGCTCCACGCTGAACCCCCAGTGGAACGAGTCCTTTACGTTGTAAGTGGTCTCTTCTCGATCAGATTTTGTTCTGCACACCATAGAACTGCCCACCTCGTTATTAGGGATCATGAAGTGGGTTCGTTTTAAATGTCTTTAAACATGTCTTCATGCCTAAGATCTTCTCGGACCGTGTTAGGGAGGCAGCTGTCATCACCTCTGTTTGATGGACAGGAATTCTCTTTACTAAGAGTTGCATAATGCAGGCCTCAAATTATTATCATTACCTATTCTGTATAAAAAATTCCATTTAAGGTATTAAAGACAATAGAAAAACGTATGAGAGGTGTCCACCTCCTGATGGATTTAGGTTCTTTTGAGAGTTAGGGGTGGGCATAAGGCAAGAATTTAAATACTTTTTAGAACACAGAAGAAGTGAGTGATATAGAAGGTGTTACTGCCACCAAAATGGGAAGGTCATTCTCACCTTCAAGCAAGGAGGACTTCCTAGAGGAGGTGACATTTAAAGTGGGCCTTGAAGGGTTGTCAGGATTTCAGAGGTAGAGATGGTAGAAGGGGAAGAAGGCAGAGGGAATGGGAAGAGAGAATAAAAAGTCAGGAGTGAGTAAGCACTGACTGCAGCTGAACAAAAGCAAGAGGTCCTCTCTGTGGACTGGTACATGGGAAGCAGATTTTCTGCAGACAGCCAGAAAGGTAGCTCTCTATTGTAGAGGAGCCAGCAGGCTTTATTCTGTAAAGGACTAGATAGCATATAGTGTAGACTTTGTGAGTCATATAGTCTCAGTTGCACCTACACAACTGAAACATTCTAGTGCCAAAGTAGCCACAGATAACATGCAAACAAATGGTCGTGGCTATGTTCTAATAAAACTTTATTTATAAAAATAGGCAGTGGGCTCGATTTGGCCTATGGGTCATGTTTTGCTAACCCCTGGTGTAGAGCTTTGGTTGCCAGTGTAAGGGGTTGGTATTTTATTGGCACAAGAAGAGAATTGAGTCTGTTATCTCTCTATCTCAGGCTCGGATCATGAGCAAGTGGTGTCTCCCAAGAAACCATCATCAAGATAACCTAGCGTTTGCGTGTGTGTGTTTTGTAGCAAATTAAAACCTTCAGACAAAGACCGACGACTGTCTGTAGAAATCTGGGACTGGGATCGGACGACAAGAAATGACTTCATGGGATCCCTTTCCTTTGGCGTTTCGGAGCTAATGAAGATGCCGGCCAGTGGATGGTAAGGAAGCCCCTGAGGTTGAGTGTGTCTCAAAACGTTAGATGATTTAGAGATTTGAGTCTCTGAAATGTCAGTTGAATGTCTGGTTATCTGGCTGTGGTCTCTCCATGGGATGCATTTCACGAACAGCTTGCCCAGGGGTCGAAGGAGGAGAGTTGCTGAACTTGCTGCGGTGCAGACACCGTGCCCTAACTCTCCTTCTCTCCCTGCCTAAGGTACAAGTTGCTTAACCAGGAAGAAGGTGAGTACTACAATGTGCCCATTCCGGAAGGGGACGAAGAAGGAAACATGGAGCTCAGGCAGAAATTCGAGGTGAGCATACCAACAAAATTGCTGGAAACACCTTTTCTTTATAAACCATAACTTTACGAAGGGCCAAATTTTTGTGGTTACATCATTGAAAGGCAAAAAGTAATTTAAATGTTAATAATCTTTTTTTATCTTAAAACATAAATGTTGTGTGATCACTTCCCTTCACAAGCTGTTAACATTCTGTGTCTATTATCATTTAAAAAATGGAAACTGGAGATATCCCAGAGATGGAAGCATGGTTGGTTTCTGCATAAGAAATCGGTTTGCACATCACTCGAGAGACAAGCAAGGTTCTGAGAGCAGGCTGTGTCTCACAAAGAAGGGCTTGTGCTCTTCCGGAAAGTGGGGAGTCGCTTTAGCCTTTTCTCAGGAGTCCCTTTACGTGTGGTTAGGCTATCGTGTGGCATCTGAGACATGCCCGCAACTTATAGAAAGCACAGTGTTCTTAATTTTGTTCTGAGAGACCGACTTAAACAAATATTCCTCTGTTTTAGATTCCTTTTTATTTTTGCTCCAGATGTTTAGAGAAGGCCACCTCCTGCTCTGCTTCCTAGTTGGCATCCGTGTGTGCCTCTGCCCCAGGTTCACTGGTCTTCTTCCTCCCCTCCTCCTCCTGCTCCCTCTCTCCGGCTGCTTTCTTCTTCTTCTCCTGTCTGCCCCTGCTCCTCTTGACTCACCTGACAGCTCAGCTGCTGATGACATTCTTTTCTCTAAGCACCTGCCTTACGTTCCAAGTCACAACTTTTGATTATTTCTGTAACACCCTGCATTTTGTCTGTCTGGGGGATTCCTATACTGGCCTCTTCATCCATGTGACAGGTTAATTCCTTTTTGAGTCTTTCTCTTCTTCAGACTAATTAGAGTTCCCTAAAAATTCTCCACCCTAAAAAAGTACACACATGTATATAGACACTGAACTGTTACTGAAATGTTGGCACTGATGGGTTGCTGATCTTGTTTTTCTTCTTCTGTTGTTCCCAAAGAAACATAGAGGTCAGATCTAGATAGAATGAATTCCAAAGGATGTGAAACATAAAATTGTTCAAATTACTTTTTTGTACTGCTGTTTGGTTAAAGTTGACGTTGGTGGCAAATACTTAACGGCAAGGGCTGTGCGGTTGGATGCCCTTGGGAACGCAAATGAGTGAAATGAGTCACAGGTAATATAAATACATGGCAGCTGACAGCAGGCCTCAGGGTTGATGAGGCAGTAGGGAGCAGTGGGGCCTGGGGCAAGCTGGGAAGCTGGAGCCCCGTCTGAAGGTGGCCGCTGCTGCTATTCAGCACCAGTTAATTATTGCCCTGCACAAATGCAGGCTCTTGCTGCCAGGTCTTCATTCTTCAAGAGCAGCCAGAAATCTAGGTTTTACGTGACCCATTCTGATTTCTCTTAATGTTGGCAGAGTTCTAAGGTTAAATCTTAGAACCTTGTGTAGGACAAACACACATCTACTGTTTCGGACACGGGTAGGATTCAACCAGTAAGAACCAGCTTGCAATCTCTGCTCTTAAAAAATATAGGTGTAAGCCAGGTGTGATGGTGCACACAGGTAGTCCCAGCTGTTTGGGAGGCTGAGGCCAGAGGATCACTTGAATCCAGGAGTTCAAGGCTAGCCTGAGTAACATAGCAAGGATCCATCTCTTTAAAAGAAAAAAATACACACACACACACACACACACACGCGCGCGCGCGCGCGAAAAAAGGAAAAAAATTATCCCTAATTATGTGTTACAATAACTGTCTATCTATCTATCTGTATATTTACATTGAGAAGAAAGGTGCTGTCCAAAGAGGCCTTACCGCATTTAGAAGAATTCGGGTACAAAGATGAAAGTCAGGGCTTGGCTAGGTTCAAGCCTCCATGCCAGGCCTCGCTCTTTTTCTGTTTGTTTTGTTTTCCTTCACTTGCCCCGTTATCTATTAATACTCCCCGCCCCCCACCGCCGCAAATGCGGACCTGGAGCACTGCACAGGAAAGGCTTTGGTGAGGCCCATCCCCCGTGTCCCAGGGCCTCTGTGGCGGGTGGGTCCCTTGAGAGAGAGTTTCAGGACGCTGAGTGCCGGCATTATTCTGCTGTTTCAGGCAGGGGAGAAACCTGAGGGGCTAGAACGAACCGCGTTTACTGAACTCCGTGCCGTGGTGCAGGTCTTTGGCCGTCACTGAGTCGGGAGCTGGGGTGCAGGGTGCCTCCACGGGAGAAGCTTGTGGGGCATCGCAACGGAGTCTCTCGCAGTAGTCTGAGGCTTAGCTTTGCTCATGGAGAGATACTCACCCACTTTTTGTGCTTCATTTCTATGGCTTCCTGGTGAGTAAACTTCCTGTTTTTCTGGGCAGTGAGTCCAGCTTTTTATAAAGGTCAGAGTTCTAAATGTAAAAATAAAAGAAACAGGCCAGAGGCTTGAGCAGAAGTGAAGCATTTCCCTCGGGAGGCTGGTTAGAGGCCACGCGTGCATGTGCATGCTGCCGGTTATTGTTCTCCCACCTGGGAGAGCCATGGACTTTGCAGGGACACCAGCCCAAGGCCATGCAGCCTCAGAGGGGAACGGTGACATCAGCACAGTTGCACGGGGGCAAGGCTTGGCTCTCCAGCCCACTGAGGTCCACGCCCAGAGCACCTGCGTAAGCTATATTCCAGCATTTTCTTAAACATCTTTCATCTTGTGTTTTCCAGATGTTGCTCAGATTACATTAGTTCGTTTACTTAGAGCATTTAAAAACAAAACTGCAGGAAACTGAACAGAAAGCCCCTAGAGGATGGTATCAGAAAGATGCTGAGAAGTTTATGACAATGCCATGCTACATTGTTAATGGAATGTGCAGGTCTGATTTTAGGCAGGGGCTCGATCGCGTAATGGTTTTTCCATCGAGGTCTGTAAATGCGAGAGTGACGATACTTCCCCAGTGCCAGGTTGTTGGAAAGGGATGCACCAGGGCAGAAGTCTGGTGTCCGCATCTGAGGAGATCTGGGTGGCAGCCAGCCTTTGCACACAGGGTGTCTGCCAGTTGGTGTCAGGTGCACTTTGGGGAACTTTCTTTCACGCTCCACCCCATTCCCTTCCTCTCAGTCCCGGTAGGATTGATCCCAGCGTCCATAGGTGCCCCTCTCGGGGTCCTTTCTGTCCATGTAATTGCCATCCTGACTGGCTTCCCGTCACGTTAGTCCTTCGCCACCTTCTCTTTCGTAGGTACTTTCCCTGCCTCTGGAAACAGTTTGATTCAGCTCAGCAAGATTTTTTTCTTAAGTTCGATGGTGAGTCATCATTGGATGAAGCACAACACGAAGCTTCATCCTTTTAGGAACAGGCATCACTCAGTGGCCTTGCACAGTGTCTGGTCTATCAAGGTGTGCTTTCCACGTCTGTTTTCTAGAAAGAGTTAATTAAATGTGGTTTTGCAATCCTTCCCCAGAAATCAAGTCACTCAGTCTGATGAAAGCAAAAATCAGAACAAATGAGCATTTACAACTCTGCCACCGCATCAGAATTCATCCGGTGATTACATGGAAAGTGTTTCCATTTAAATTGTGAGATCTAGATTCTTGGCAAACGGAATGATCAGTGAGTGAAGCTCGTAGGAGCCAAGGAAAATTCCAGGGTGGCTGGAAATGACATGACTCTCTAATATAGGTCTTCCTGGGTCAGTCCTTCTTCCTAAAAGACAAAACAAACCAGGACCTTGACAGTGATACTCACGGACAGTATGTCTGTGGGCCTTTAATCTGTCCCGTGTTTGTCTTCAAATTAATCACACGTGTTCCCTGATGCGCAAACATAAAAGTACACGATTTTTTCATTCAGTCAGCGAGTGAGGTGCCAGCAGCGAACAAAGCAGGCTGTCCCTGCTTCCTGTGCAGCTTGCGTTCTGTCCCTGCGGGCCCCGTTCAGACCTTCTTGGGAGTGCAGCAGGGAGCTTGTGGAGAAAGGAGCACTCCAAACCCCCTGTGCTGTCGAGCGGGTCCTTGGGTCCCCCGTCGCTACTGGGGAAGGCAGGGATTCTGTTCTCGCCTCCACTTCGGGCCTCTGCTCTCGCTGTTGAGGCTCCCAGGCCAGAGCTGGGAAAAGGTCCACCTGTCCTTAGGTCTGGAGGATGGTTCAGCGCTGGCTCCACAGAGCTCTGTAAATGGTCAGAGAATTAATATTTTAGGCTTTACAGGCCATGCGGTGTCTGTTGTAATAACTCAACTCCGCCATTGTAGCACAGAGCAGCCGCAGACGGTGCATACACAAACAAGCAAGGTGTGTTCCAGTAAAACGTTATTTACAAAAACAAACAGCAGGTCAGATTTGGCCCATGGGTCACCGTTTGCCAACTTCTAGAACCAAATCCTGGTTTTGTCATTTGTTGACCATGTGACCTCTCTGTGCCTTAGTGTCCTTAACTGTAAATGGGCATAATAGCAGTATCTACTCAATAGCGTTGTTTTAAAGATTAAATTAAGTGCCCAACAGAAAAGTCCCAGAAGGATACTAACTATATAAATGTTAGCTTATAATCATCATCATTGTCAAATATTTCATTGTGAAAACTGGGTTGTAGAGGGCATTTTTTTTTTTTTAAACTTCTGAAGTTTCTCTGAAAAAGAATGAATTTTCATGCTAAAATCATGGTCCGAATAGTGGGCATGTTCTGTGTCCTGTAGTCCAGCCCTAGTATGAAATAGAGGCATATTGGTGAGGACCTTATCACCATTTATAACATTGTTTTCATGGGAAAATATATCCTGATTTACATTCAGATGGGTTTCTAGAATACAGTGTTTCTGTGATTGGGGACTTTGCATGTCTGGGAACTTATCAGATAACCTCTGAGCAAAACTATCCTATCAGTGGTTGTCAGTAAATATAATCCCAAATGAGAATTCGACTTGCACTGACACTTCTCGATTCAGTGGTTTGGTTTAGAGTCCCAATTTAAAACTCAAAAGTGAGCACATTCAGATGTTTGATAATAAACCACACCAAGAATAAACACAAGTATAATCATAATGATAGTAGGCAC